CCGTGGACGACAGGACGTCCATGTCGAGAGGAAAAAATAAGAAAAATGTTGATTTTGTATTGTTTTTTACAGGTTAGGATGGGACCCCCCGGATGCGGCCCCTAATGGCCGGCCTGAGGGGGGAGTAGGAGTATATTCTAATAAGGAATAAGGATAGGAATCGGAGGAGGAGGTAGGAGGAGCAGGAGGAGGGCAGGAGGAGGAAGGAGGTGGGAGGGAGGAGGAGGAGGAGGAGGAGGAGCAGAAGGAGCAGGAGAAGGTGAGCAGGAGGAGAAGAGGAGTAGGAAGCATGATGTAAGGATAACCAATCACATGGAGGAGGAGGAGGAGGAGGTGGAGGAGGAGGAGGATGAGTCGAGGAGGAGGAGGAGGAGGTAGGAGGAGGCAGGGAGGAGGAGGTGGAGGAGGAGGAGGAGGAGACGAGTAGCGAGAAGCAGGAGGAGGAGAGAAGGAGGAAGTGGAGGAGGTGGAGGAGCGGAGGGGAGGTGGAGGAGAGGAGGAGGCGAGAGGAGGAGGAGGAGGAGGAGGAGGACGAGCATGATGATGATGATGATGATGATGATGATGATGATGATGATGATGATGATGATGATGATGATGCTGATGATGATGATGATGATGATGATGATGATGATGATTATAATGCTGCTGCTGCTGCTGCTGATGATGATGATGATGATGAGAAGGAGGAGGAGGAGGAGGAGGAGGAGGAGGAGGAGCAAGGCGCGAGGAGCGAGGAGCGAGGAGCGAGGCGCGAGGCGCAAGGAGTGAGGATCGATGATCGAGCAGGATCAGGATTAGGAGGAGGAGGAGAAGGAGGAGGACGAGGAGGAGGAGGAAGAGGAGCAGGAGGAGGAGCAGTAGCAGGAGGAGAAGGAGGAGGAGCTTGGAGGAGGAGGAGGAGGAGGGAGGAGGAAGGAGGAGGATGAGGAGGAGCAGGAGGAGGGGGAGGAGGAGGAGGAGGAGAAGGAAGAGGGGAGGAGGAGGAGAGGAGGAGGTGGAGGAGGAGGAGGCGGAGGGGAGCGAGGAGCGAGGAACAAGGAGAGAGCGAGGAGCGATAGCGAAGAGCAGGAGGAGGAGGAGGACGAGGAGGAGGATGAGGAGGAGGGGGAAAAGGAGGAGGAGGAGGAGGAAGAGGATGAAGAGGAGGAGGAGGAGGAGGAGGAGGAGGAGGAGGAGGAGGAGGAGGAGGAGCGCGGAGCGAGGGGCGAGGAGGAGGAGGAAGAAGAGGAGGAGGAGGAGGAGAAGGAGGAGGAGGTGCCGAGCGGGGCTCCTTATCGCTGCTCCGCCCAATCTCCTGCCAGGGGAATGAACAATGATACAAACATACAAACTCAGAGGTCCGCGCGGATTCCTCGGATCGGCGCTGGGGCCCCCCTGGTGTCGCCTCTGGCGCCGCCCCGGCGCGCCAGGAAGGGGGGTCCAATGCCGATCCGAGACATCCGCGCGAACCTCCGAATGTTTATGCTTATGTCGTTGTTTTTGCTCCCCGACCTGCGCCGCTGGCTCTGCGGCCGCGGCTGCTGGCGCGGGCGCGGGCGCGACGGAGGTCATCGGCGCGTCCTTCTTCGCGTCCGCATCGGTCATCATCGCTCGCTTCTTCTCTTCCTCTTCGCATCTTAATCTTTCGGACTCGTCGAACATCTTCTTCTGCTTCCCTGTCAAGATCTTGAACACCTCGCAGAGCACGAGGCAGCCCAAGGCCCCGAAGAATGCCGCAACCCAGCCCTCCCAGCCGATCGCGGCGCCGCGTAGGCCGAGGATTGCGTCCGACACGTACGGGATGAAGATCGCGCAGTACAGCGCGATCTGCGCGGAAAGGATGGAGTACTGCATCTTTTTGTTGTCGAGGAGTCCCACCCACACGGGTTTGTCGAAGGAGCGGGAGACGTAGGCGCGCACGTTCTCAGCCCACACGAGCGAGATGAACGCGACGGTCTGCGCCTGCTGCAACTTGTAGCTCAGAGACTCTGGGTCGTCCGCCTCGAACGTCTCCTCGTTGATGGCGTTTGCGATGTCGATGGCGTTGAAGAGGCCCACATAATGGTTCAGGGCCCACACGAAGACCAAGATGATCACGAACGAGAGGATGGCGCCGTTGATGATTATGCTCATCCACATCCACATCAAGATGATGTTCTGGTCGCGAGGCCGCGGCCATTCCTTCAGGATGCCTGGCTGTCCGGGCTCCATGCCCAGCGCGACGGAAGGCGGCAAGTCCGTGACCAAGATGAGGAACAATATCTGCACGGGGGACCGCATGAGCGGGAAGGCGGCCACAACGCAGAAGAATATCTGCATGACCTCCGACGATGGGGAGGAGAAGGAGGAAGAAGATATGGAGGAGGATGAGGAGGTCCGTATGCTACAGGCATCACACTTGACGTTTGCCTAACATCGAACAAGGAAGAGGAGGAGGAAGAGGAGGAGAAATCGGAGGAGGATGAGGAGGTGGAGGAGGAGGAAGAAGGAGTAGGAGGGCGCAAGAACTGGAGAGCATAGGGAGAGTTGCAGGAGAGCGGAATATAGGATGAAGGGGTTGAGCGAGAGGAGGAACGCGCGGAGGAGGGATCGGAGAGGGAGAGAGACGAAGAGGAGGCGGATGAGGAGGAGGAGAAGGAGGGGAATGAGGCGGACGAGGAGAGGGGAGATGGAGGAGAGAGGAGAATGAGGAACGAGGAGGAGTGGAGGTGTAGGAGAGAGGGAGAGAGAGAGAGAGAGAGAGAGGGGAATGAGGCGGACGAGGAGGAGAGGGGAGATGGATGAGAGAGGCGAGCGAGGAGGGCATTAGGAGGTTAAACAGATGAGGCATGGGTCTGAATACGAGTGTCAGTGCGAGTGCGAATGTGCATGTGACTATGAGTAGTGTCAGTGTTATTCGTACCATGATTCGTAATGCGTTTACGGGTACGTGTTTGCGTGCGCGTATGGGTCTCATCATGATAACGGCCATACGTTTCGGTATCCACGCCCTCGCGAACGACGAAGATATCTACATCCATGCCCTCCCGGTTTGGAAACCGCGGCGCGATCGGATGGATACACGATCCCATGGATTTGCTCCGCTGCACGGAGACGTCGATCCCGCTCGTCCTGAAGGAAGGTGGGGAGGAGAGGAGGAGGAAGAGGGAGACGAGGAAGACGAGGATTGCTCTTTATCCTCTTCCACCTCCTCGTATCCTTCCACTCCCGCATCCCTCTCCTCCTCCTCTTCCTTTTCCTCCTCCTTCTCCTCCTCCTCCTCCCCCACCAGGTTCTGTCATCGCAGGAACATTTCGCTGGAACTTGTTCTCTAGCTTCGGCTCCCAGGGGTCGTTTCCCTGTCAAGAGAGACTCAAGATGGAAAGCTCGCCTCAGAAAGAGTTCGAGAGCCTCGGATGAGGCCATTTCACAACAACATCGCCGACGGATCTCGCGACCATGTCTCTTATTCTTCTTCTCCCTCCCTCCACCCCTCCCTCCTCTTCCTCCTCCCCCTCCTTCTCCTCCTCACTTGTTTCTCCTCCTCCTCCTCCTCCCTCCCTCCTCTTCCTTCTCGTCGTCCTCCTGGCGATCGTCCTGATGGGGTCCACCTGCCACTGCGAGCAAGACGGGATCCTCCTTGGCACAAGTGGCTCGAGCTGCTCAACGGCCAGGGTCGGCGAAACATCGCTACCTCGCAGTCGTACGAGGAGAGTGCCACGAGGATTGCGCATCGCGTTCAGAAACAAGCGCTCTTCTTTTCACTGCCGGACTTATCGGAGTTGGGCAGCTGAGGAGGAGACAGTCGGCGTCTTGCACAAGACACTCAAACCTATGCCACACATTCAAACATTGCCAGCTGCGGGAGTCACAGAGCTAGCTCTGATTTTTGAAGCTGTTGAGGCCGCCCTTGCGTGGCCAATTCAAACGCTGTTGGTTGTGGTCAGGCCAGCCCCATCGAGGTCAGGTAAATATCGTGGCATTGGGCTGGTTTCAATGTGAGCCCGTCTGCCATCGAAAGTCAGAGAGTGCGAGGTGCAAGATTGGTCACAATCCACGGCGCACCATTGGGATGCTGCGCTGAAACGCCATTCGTGCCTCCTGGAGGCCCTCTTGAGAGCGACCGACGGAGAAGCTGCACATAGCACGGGCAGCCAGTCTGCACACGGGATGGTGGACATCGAGGCATTCCATGCTTCAGTTCCCTGGGGCCCACTGCTTGCAGCGGCGCTCAGGCTCAAGTTGCCTTCAGCTATTCTCGGGGATGGACAGACCCCCCTTTAGCAAAACGTGGTTTGGTGAAAATGACCTGAGGCCCAAACCTGGCGGGCGCAAGCCTGGAAAATAACGGCCACGGCGCCCTCTCGAAAACCGAAAACGGACAATTCACTAATCGACGTGTCACTGTTGGGGGTTCTGTCCACCCCCGCTACTCTCTTCCTGGAGCTCCCGCAGCGCACTGCCCCACGGGCTCCGGAGCAGCGCGCCGCGGCCAGCGCCCCGTGGAGCCCCCGCCGGAGCTGTGCTGCAGGGCCTCTGCTCTGGCACCGGATCTGCGACGATCCTCGCCTTAAGTCGGGCGTGTCCCCCTACAGGGGGATTTTCGACGAAACATACAAGATACCCCCAAAATAATCAGAAAATGATCCAAAAATAATCAGGGGACTATTCTTTGAGTTTTTTTTTGTTTGTCTTAACTTTCTGGGGCATTTTGGGGTATTTTTTATTTTTCGTCGAAAATCCCCTCGTAAAAGCCACACGCCCGACATAAATTTACGACGGCCATCGCTCGGATGGGGCACGTGCTGTGGGTGGACGACCTCTCACAGGTGGCGAAAGGCTCGCGGCGTGCAGTACGGCAACTCATGATACGATGCTTGCTGGGCACCTGCCGCGAGCTGGGCGAGCGAAGGCTGAGAGTAGCAACCAAGTCGACGGTCACGTGCACGATCCACCAGGGTGCCGTGGCCATTGCGAAGGCGGTGAAGAAGGCAGGCTGTGACGTACAGCCTGTTCGTCAAGCGGCCTACCTTGGCCGCGGCCCACACGCCAGGGCGATCAGGACGAAACGTGAGACCAACCACCTCGCCATGAGCAAGACGATCAGGCGCTTCACCAAGGCGTCGAGGCAGCACCACGTCATGGCGAAGTTGCAGAAGCAGGGCGGTATCCCTGCTGGGCTGTACGGTCATCAAATGCACCGCGTTTTCGGCCACCAACCGACAGCAGCACGGCGCCGATTGAGTCAGGCGTGTTCGTCGTATAGTCGTGGTCGGTGTTTGTCAACGGTCCTGGACTTGAGAGTTCACAGCGCTGACCCAGCCATTATCATGCCCACCAAGTGTATCGACATGTGGCTCCAGGTATGGCAGTCTCACACACACATACGTCCAACAATTCATCGGGTGTGGCAACAGTTCGCGGATGAGATGTCATCACAGCCGCCAGCAGACCAAGCACGTGACGTACGTGGTCCCATTTTTGCGGTTACCTGGAACCCTTTAAGAATTGGGTGGGCGCCAGTATCGGCCTCCACGTGGACGCACCCGACGAGTGCTAACCCATAGGAGGAGTGGCGATTTTCATATTCTATCTACGGCAAGTTCATGTCGTGCCGATTTCGGCATTGCCTTCTGACACCGCGGGGATCGTTCAACCTTGAACGATCGGCCGTTTCCGAAACGTCCAAATCGTTCCACGTCGAACGATTCTGGGTCGCCCGCGGCGTTCAAAGTTGAACGCCGCTAGCGGGGTCGCCGCCGGTCAACACGACACGAACCTGCCGTACACAGGCTGCGAGGTCCGCGACTCCCACCAAGGCGCTCTGGGGGACGTCCAAAGAGCGGCGTCCCGAACGGTGTGGGGGCAGGCGAGCCAGCACCATTTGTGGCCGCGGGCTCGAGCAGGGCGTCGATGACGCTTCTCATAGCCGCCGCATCCAGCACCTGCGCCAGGCTGAGCACGGCAGGAGGCGGGCGGAGACCATGGCCACGGTGGCGTCGGCTGGTTGTTGGCCCAAGGCTAGGAGGATGCAGATGTTGAGGAGGAGGAGGAGGAGGAGGAGGAGGAGGAGGGAGGAGGAGGGGGAGGAGGAGGGGGAGGAGGAGAAGGAGGAGGGGGAGGAGAAGGAGGAGGAGGAGGAGGAGGAGGGTCCCGAGGACTTGTTGCACCCGTTCTGGACCTGCCAGGCCACCAGAGGCGCCACGGCATACGAGGACTCTGACGACTTCTTGGCTCATGAGGCTCTCACGCAGATGAGTCCATGTGCAGCATTCTGGTCGCGAGGCATTCTTCCTGAACCACGGACACGTGCACCACCTCCAGCTGTTCAGGAGAGCAATGGAGTGTCTCTGGCATTAAATGAAGTGACGAGTGGATGCATGGGACACGGCACGGTTGCTCAAGCAATCTTGATTGCAGGCGATGCGTCAGGAGGTCCAGAATCCAGCAACTCCAAGTTCAGACGGATGGGCCTGGCCATAGCCAAGTTCGACTCCACGGAGCCCTGTGTGGAAGCTGATGCCGGTATAGCTGGCCCCTTGGCTGGGCCCTGACAGGTTGCGGCTCGTGGAGAGATTCGGGCTTTTGTCATTTCGGTGTGGGCTGCGACGGGATACCCAACAGACATCTCAGATCACGAACCCCTTGTTCAGTCATGGTATGAGCGTGCTTGCGTGCGACCCCGTGGTGATGACGGGGACCTACGGGTCGCTCTCGCAGATATCCTTCGGACCAGGGACCCGAACTCCATCACCGCATTGCTCACACATGGTCATACTAATGAGTCTGATACTGTGAGTGGCAAGGCTGTCCGAAGCTTGGTTCCTGCCAGCACGGTGGCCGACGAGCTGGTGGACCGTGCGGCGATGTGCTGCAGACTTCCAGAAGCAGCTCGGCACCGAGTCCAGGCGCATGTTCAGTACGCGCTCGACGGGTGCGCCTACTACGCCTGCTGCGGGCTTCGCTGGACTGCCTCGCGGCCGAGGCGGAGCAGGCCGCCATCGGGAGGCACGAGAGGAAGGAGGGCGGGGCGGTCGTGGCCCCTCCACCTCCTCCCCCTCCCCCTCCTCCTCCTCCTCCTCCTCCTCCTCCTCCTCCTCCTCCTCCTCCTCCTCCTCCTCCTCCTCCCCCTCCTCCCCCTCCTCCTCCCTCCTCCTCCACCTCCTCCCCCTCCCCCTCCTGCTCCTGCTGCTGCCCTCGCCCGGCTGATGTTTCAACACCGGCTTGATGCAAGTCGGCGCAGATGTTTGCTGTGTTTCGGATCGGCCACCCTGGTCGCCGCTCGTGAATGGGGGTCAAGACCCCCTGCCCCCAGCTTGTGAATGTTGACGGCAGTATCTGGTCCCCGTCCGTAGGTGCTAGAATTCATGTTGCGGGGGGCTGGCTACACTCTTCCCATCTTCTTAACTATCACTCCGTTTTAAAGATTTGGTTATGTGGCAAGTGGGGGGAGCTGACAAGCAGCTTCGGTCCCTTGGAAAGCCGTGCACCCCCATCACCCCCACAGGTAGAGCCTTTTTAGATCGCATCAGAGATGGG